AGCCTTTCGAGAAGGCCCAGGTTAACCATACGGTTGTGGGGCTCGGGTCGTTCTACGACGGGGTCTCGGGCGGTTGGGGCCTTCAAGGTCCCAAGACGATGCGGTGACGGACCGTGCGGTGGTGGGCTCCGTTGGGGTTCCGATGTCGCCACACGGCACGTCACTACACCGTTTTTGGACCCCATACGGTGTGAGGGTGGCGTCGCGGTCGTCCTCTTCCTCTGCCGTCGTCCCCTTTCTCTCGTCCTTCTCTTGCCCCTCGCCTTGTGGGCTTCGTTCCTTTTCGGCCTTGTCCTGTCGGTCTCCTTTCGTTGCTTGGCGGCCACGGTTTTTTAAGCGAGTTAGGGCTAGACGGTAACCCGCGTCCAAGTAAACAAACTCTTTATCGCTAACTCACGTCCCGCTAGCCCGATAACCTGGGGGCGGTGGCCCTTGGCGGTGGCATTTTCTAGGGCGAGGTTGCGGTTGCCTCTGTCGCGCCTCGGGGCATGTGGGAATTTCCAGGCCGCCCAGGCGTTTGCGTCGAGAAAGTTACCAAGCAGGGCCCGATTAAGCTGAAACGCAGCCGCCGTTTGAAAGTCAAGGCGCTGAGATACATATCATTTGGGTATCAGGATGGGCTATGTTTTTCAGGCCGTTACTTAAATCTAGGTCAGGGAATCTCTTCGTGGCCCAGGCTCTCTTGCCCCAGGTCAGACATGTTCAGCGCACGCGGCACCAGCGGCCGCGGCGCTGGGACAAACCTCGTTCGCATCGGTGTGTATATGTGTGAGAGCGCGCGCGCGTGTGTGTGTGTTGTTGCGTGCGTGCGTGTGTGTGTGTGTGTGCGTCTGTGTGTATGTGCGTGCGTGCGTGCGTGCGTGTGTGCGTGCACGTGTTTGTGTGTTTGTGTGTGTTGTGTGTGTCATTATGTGCCGCTCCGCCGCGACGCCACACATGCTTGTGCGTGTGCGTGTGCGTGTGCGTGTGCGTGTGCGCGTGCGTGTTTGTGTGTGTGAGTGTATGTGAGTGTCTGTGTGTGTGTGTGTGAGTGCGCGTGGGGGGTGCGCTTGTGTATGTGTGCGCGCGTGTGTGTGATTGGACGCGTGCGTGCGAGCGTTCGTGTAACTTGCGTGCGTGTGTGTGTGATTTTCTGTGCCGCCCCGCCGCGCGTGGCCGCAACGCCAAACAGGTGTGTGTGTGAGCGTGTGTGTGTGTGATCGTGTGTGTGATCGTGTGTGTGTGAGCGTGTGTGTATGTGCGTCGCGCGTCTCGATGCCCGACCTTCCTGCGCCTCGACGCTGCGCGCGAGGTCGGCGCGGTGGGCGGGCGGCGCGCCGCCTTCAGGCATGTCGTGAACGGGGTCGGCTTGGCGTCGTTCGGACGTGTGCATGTGTCCTCGGCGAGGACCAGCAAGGAGCATCTTGGATCATCTTGCGGGGACGAAGATCGCACGACACCGAAACATGCGCGGGGAGTGGACGTCCGAGCGATGGCGAGTCGACCGGTGGGCCACCTGGCGCCTGCTGGAGAGCGAGGAGCTCGCGCCAGACGCGGCCGGTGCCTTGCGCAAGAGACGGGGGTCAATGCAAACAGGGGGTCAGTCAGAGCGCTGGATCTTGCAGTGTCCTGCAGAGCCAGGGGTGCACTGCCCCGGGCTTGGGCGCAGGATCTTGCAGAATCCTGCAGGATCTTGCAGGACCCTGCAGAGCCTGACTGACCCTGCATTCGACTGACACGGGTGTGCATTGACCCGGGTCAGCAGATCCACGATTCTGGAGAGCGAGGAGCTCGCGCCAGACGCGTCCAGCGCCCTGTGCGCGGTGCTTATTGGCAACGGCGTCGCAGGCGTTGGCCGCGAACTGGGACCAGCCCTCGCGTCGCGTTGCCCGCATGGCTGGGCCTTGGAGGGGACGCGCGAACACCGCGCTTGAAGGTGTCCCAGGTGAGATTCGGTCCGCCGCGCCGAGCTGCGGGTTGGCGGGCTGGCTGAGCGAGGCCGCCCTGCTGGAGCGCATGCCCGCCGGGGTTGCTCTTCGGAGTGCTGCCCTCGGACGCGCGCCTGGCCGCGCATACCGCGCAAACCCGGCAGCAGCCGCCGCCGCCCCCGTTGCCGCCCCCGGCGGTCGGCTTGGGCAGGCTGGGGCCTCGCTTGGAGCGGCGGCGCTTGCGAACATTCCACCGATCCGCTGTTGGCCCAGGCCGAAAGGAGGAATGCGCTTGCAGGGATCCGACGGCGAGCTCCTGTGGCGCAGCGCGCCGAATTCACCGCGGCCTTGCACGCGGCCAACGTGGCCGGTGCCTCCCTGGAGCTGATCTCCGATGCGGAGTATGTGTGCCGCGGGATCGCTGGGCTGCACACCGTCGCCCATTGGCTCGTTTCCCCACGACTGGACGCAGGCGGATTTGCTGGGGTTGCTGAGGCCGCATTGCCGGGGCGGCAACATCACAGCGCGCTCGGTGAACCTGCACCTCGATGCGGCCGCTGCGGCCGCCAGGGGCGTCGCGCCCGAGGATCGTTTTGGCAACGCGAACGTCGACGGGCTGGCGGGGGCCGCGGCGCGCGCTCAGCTCCCCGCGCGGACACTCTGCGAGAAGCGGTAGTGGAACTGGCCGCGCTGCGGGCGGACCACGAGATTTCGGGGTTGGCTGGCCCTCCGGTGCGCCGTCGCTGGGCAGGCGGGGCGCTGCGGCAGGCATTCGCCGCCCAACCTGGCCAGCAGAGGGCGCGGCCAGCGGGCCCGCGCCAGCCAGGCAGCCGCCTCCTTCGCAGCGCCCATGGCGGCCGTGGGCTGCGGGGCAGGGCCTGCCGCGGCGGGGCGCCGCCGAGGTTGCCAGGGCCCTTTCGGGATGGGTCGCTTGCCTCCAGTGTGGCGCGGCGGGCCCGCGTTGGCTGGTGCTTGCGGCGCGGCCCCGCTCCGGCTGGGCCCTTTGCAGGAGGAATATTCATATTCATATCTATCGAAGAAAAACACAAATAGCCAGGGGACGATGTTTAAATTTTTGTTGAGTATGTTTGCGTATATTTCGACTATTTTCCTTTTTCCCCAAAAAATCTGTATAGGAGGACGTGCCCGACCGAAGGCCGGGCCGTTTCGACGCCGCCTCGGGCCGCCGCACTCTTGCCCTGCGGGGCGGGCCGCTGGGGCCAAGGCGGACCAGCGCTGCGCGCGGCGCAGGCGGATCGCGGCGTTGGCCGGGCCGGCGGACTGAAGCTATAATGCCGCCAGTTCTTGGCTGAGCTGCTGCGTGTTTCACCCCCCGCGCGGCCATGGCGCCAGCATCGCGAAGCGGCTTTCGTTGGGAAAACAACGGGATGGACCCAGATTGTCTTGGAGAGTTTCGCTTTGGATTTCGAAGTGAGTTTCGTTTGGTTTTTGTTGGTCAGGAATGGAGATAACAAACAACCCATGCGAACTTAATTTCGTTTTGCGCTTGCCGTGTCGGGTATCTGCATCGACGGAAATCCACGCAAAAATCCGCTGCAACATTTCTGCAAGGTCGGTGCAGTGACCCTTCCCTTCGCCCCTTTCTTTTCATCCTTCATGCCGCGCTTCCTTCGCGGTTGTAAAGCCATGTGCATGTGTGTGCGCGTGTGTGTGTGGGTGTGGGTGTATGTGTGTGTGTGTGTGTGCGTGTGTGTGTGTGTTTGTGAGTGTGTGCGTTGAGTCCGCCTCGTCGCTGCACGCGGGGCGGCGACCATCAACACTGTGTCTGTGTGTGTAGTGTGTGTACGTGTGTTGTGTGAATGGGTATGTGTGTGTGTGCGTGCGTGTGTGCGTGTGTGTGTGTGTGTGTTTGTGTTTGTAAGTGTACGTGTGTGGTTATGTGTGTGCGTGTGTGCGTGCGTGCGTGCGTGCCTGCGTGCGTGCGTCGTGCGTGCGTGCGTTTTGTTTGTTTCTCTCTCTCTCTCTCTGTCTCTTTTCCTCTGTTCTTCCCTTGTTGTCTCTCTCTCTCTCTCTCTCCCTCTTTTTTTTGTTTCTCTCTCTCTCTCTCTTTCGTTCTTTGTTTCTCTCTTTCCCCCGCCCCAATCAGTGCTTGCACTGAAGGGGTCCTAGCGGAAGTTGGAAGATTTGGCGAACGTTCCCCGCCGATTTTGGTAGCAGGCTGGGTTGCCGGGTTCTTGGTTCCGGGTTCTCGGGTTCCCGGTTATTGGTTCCGGGCCGATTTCGGTGGGTTGTGGGTTCTTGGGCTCCCTGGTTTCCAGTCGTCCCCTCAGCGAAAACCATCCATTGATTGGGTTTTTTCTCTGGCGTTTTTTTTTTGTTTTGTTTTCTCTCTCTCTCTCTCTCTCTCCCGCCCTCCCCCCCCCCAACTGCGCGTTTTGGCCAGCGCCTCGGGGCGAGCCCGGCCGCGGCGACGAGGGTGCGCCGAGAGGCCCAGAGACGCCCTGGAGCGCCCGAGACCACGCTGCCCGATCCTCGGGGGGCCCCCAACGGGGTGTTGACCACACCGTGTGGTGAGTCGGTGGGGAGTCGGGATCACCGCACGGTTTTGGGACTCGGGTCGTTCTCCGAGGACGTCTCTCAGGAGGGAACAACACAAACACAGACACAGACACAGACACAGACACAGAGACAGACACACACACACACAGACACACACACACACAGAGACACACACACACACACAGACACAATTCATCGTCGATCCCCAGGAAAATATGGAAACATATGGAAGTGGTGGGGAAGACAAAAACGTAGAACATATGTGAAAATATGGGGAGTCCTCTTATTTGTGTGTATAAATTGGTGTGTCTCGGGGCCCCTGCAGTCTCGGGCGACGGGGGCCGTGCGGTGAGGTCTTGGGGGAGTTCGAGGTCAAGGCACGGTCTGTCACCGCACCGTTCGATCCTCCCTCGATCCTCCCTCGATCCTCCCTCGATCCTCCCTCGATTATTCTCCCTCGATCCTCCCTCGATCCTCCCTCGATCCTCCCTCGATCCTCCCTCGCCGTTCCGGGACTCCAGAGATCCTCCCTCGATCCTCCCTCCGCCACGGCACCGCCCCCGCCGCCTCCAGTCGAACAGCACCCAGGGCCCCCACAAGCACGTGTACGAGGCTTACAAGAAGGACCCCGCCGCGCCCCGTCCAAGCGGCGGCCCCGGGAGCCCCGCCACGCCGCGCCGTGGGGCGGCCGGGTGGCTTCTCGCGCGTCCGTCCCTCCTCGCGCTTCCTCTGCCGCGTCCCCGCCCTTTCCTTCCCTCCTCGCCCCCCCTCCTAGCCCCAGCCCGCGGTCCGTGTCGATCCGATCGATCCGATTCCATATGTTGACTCTGGCCGACCTGGTCGGAGTGGACTCCGGTGCTCCGGACGGTGTGATGCTTGCCGCGGCCGATCCGATTCGATTCCAGTTCCGTGCCTGTGCAGCCCGTTCCGACGCACATTCCGATCCGATCCGATTTCCAGAGTTCATATTGGCTGATCCTGTAGCCCCCCTCCTTCGGCCCCCCCCCACCGCGCACTTCTGCGGCATCCGCACCCGGCACCCATCATCTTTACACCTTGTAAGTTTCTCAGGGGAGCCAGAGATTGTCGGGGCGGGACGCCTGGGACGCACTCGCTCGGTCGGGCCTCTGTCATGTTTTTGCGACTCCCCGTGTACAGCCTGTTGGCCATTGGTGGAATCAGCGATGATGGCTTTATGTTTGTGGCGAGAATTGGACGTGGACATCGTAGTTCTGTCCAGGGTCCGGTGGGCCCGTTCTGGAGGTGGTCCTCGAGAAGGGCAGCCGCGCGGCGCTCTCGGCAGGCTGGTCAGCAGCACCGTTCTGGAACAGAGCAGCAAGTTATATTGAAACGACGCGAACATCGGGACAGCATCGGATCGGGATAACTCGAAATCTCTGAGAATCGGCGGGTTTGGAGGATGTATTGGGCGCCGCGGCCGCTCCAGAGCGTTCCGGAACGCTCTGAGAGCGCTCCGGAACGCTCTGGATCGATTTATCCCGATTTTAGCCCTGTTTTACATATGATCATGCTGGGACGACGGCTTCGCACAGAAGTAACCGACATTACAAAGCCGTTGTCACCTGCCCTCCGAGTGCATGGCGTCGAAGGCTCGCCGTTCGCATCGCCACAGGGTCGGCCAGCTTCACCAGCATCTCCCCACCCGAGCCTGCAGGACGACAGTGTCCGACGCCGCACGATGACTGGAACGGGGTCCACGGAACTCGCGCGCTGGATGGCGGAGCAGGTCCGCCACGCACGCGGTCCGTCCATGACGATCGTGCGTGGCGGCTTCAACACAAACTCTTGATACCGGACTGACCAGCTAGCCTCGTTGAGCTTACTCGAGACAGGACGCGCCACCGAGTATGCACGGCTATGCTGTTTTCATCGTGGGAGCCAGGACATCATAGATGATCATATGTGTGAAGAGTTAGTACGCGCCCCTACATCTATGAAAGCTCGGACCCCCACGCTTTCTATGAAAGCTTGGGCCCCCAAGTGTTGGTCCGACCTAGTTCGGCGTCGATGGCGCCACAAGCACGATGCATCACACCTTCGTCCACGCATCTTCTCAGGACCACATCTGACACTGTATGATTCATTGGAAGGCGGCCTGCAGACTTCAGATGATCCCACATGCCTCCCTCGTTACCCCCCCCTATCCGCAACAAGTTGACTGCGTACCGGCACAGGTCCCATCCAGAGTTGTCTCAAATAAGTGGGGGCCGAGTCAAAATCATCAACGATCAGCAGGAATGCTCTAATCATTGACTCTAATCGATACTGGACGCTTCGCGCAACCTCGCCAGCCCATCCAGAAACGACGTCCAGGCGAGTTGCCCTTATCTGGCATGTGGGGGAGCACTCAGTGGAATGAAGGCTGGGAAGCCGTCATATCCAAGCGTCATATCCCAACAGGGGGATGATCCAGGAGGAACCAGAGGAGGATGAGGATGAGGAGGAGGCGGAGGAGGAGGAGGACGAGGCTGAGGAGAACGAGGAGGAGAAGCAGGAGGAATAGTAAGAGGAGGAGGAGGAGGAGGAGGAGGAGGAGGAGGAGAAGGCGGAGGAGGAGGATAAAGAGCAGGAACAGGATGATGGAGGAGGGAGACGGCAAGAAGGAGGAGGAGGAGGAGGAGGAGGACTAGGCGGATGAGGAAGAAGAGGAGGAGGAGGAGGAGACAGAGGAGACAGAGGAGGGCGAACAGGAAGGCCAGAATCCTCTTGTATACTTCTGGTTTTCTCTTCGGATGTCTCTCGAGAATTGCTTGTTGTCTTGTTGGGCCGCATTTGGTGCCTCTTGGAGGCCCCAGGGGCCTCTGGTAGCGTCTTGGGTGCCTTGGGGGGCCAATGGTTCCCCCGAAGCATGCCAAGAGCGCGGCGAAGAAGGTGCTGATCGGCGGCAGCTGGACCATGAGCAAGTTGTGCGAGTGCAACATCGTCCCGACCGACATCTGCTTGGAGGTGCGGCGAAGCGGTGGGGACACCTCACCTCCGTTTCTACAAGTGCCCAGCGCTACGGGAGCAATGGCTGGCTGCGCAGGATGAGTGGCAGCACGTGGCGGAGCAGCTCAAGGACAGCCTACCGTGGACAAGTGGCGTGGTCAGAAGCCCACAGGCAGAGTTGAGCTTCAAGGGCATTGGGGAGGAGCAGTACAGCTTCGAGGTCAGGCAGGGCGACGACAACTACCTCACAGGACACATCGTGTGTGACGGCTCCAAGGTGGGGCACAGCCGAGTGGGCCCAGAGGCTGGGCGGCGATGTCGTTGAACGGGGTGGGGGATGCGAAGGCATAGATGTGGGGCCCACTGCCGTGTGGGCTGCCGGTGCAAAAAGATGATAAAGCGCGCGGAGCAGTGGGAATTTCTTCAAGGTGCTCATGCTCTCCTCAGGAGGGGGAAAACACACAAACACAATTCATCGTCGATTCCCAGGACAATGCGGGAACACACGGGAAGTGAGGGGGAAGACGAAAACCCAGAAAACATATGAGCATATGGGGAGTCCTGGGATCTGTGTCTCTCTATGTGTGTGTGTGTCCCTGGGCCCCTTCAGCTCCCTCCCCCCGTGCAGAATGTTGACCAACCCCGAGGGCACAGCTGGCGGCACGAGCGAGGAGAGCCGGGGCGCACCCGCTGGAGGCGAGCGCACGCGGGCACGCGGCGACGGATCTGACCCGAGATGGAGGACCGGAGGGTTCCTCTGCAGGGCTTAGGCGACCCGTCCTCCTCCTCCTCCTCCTCCTCCTCCTCCTCCTCCTCCTCCCTCCTCCTCCTCCTCCTCCTCCTCCTCCTCCTCCTCCTCCTCCTCCTCCTCCTCCTCCTCCTCCTCCTCCTCCTCCTCCTCCTGTATCTCCTCCTCCTCCTCCTCCTCCACCTCGTCCTCCTTCTCTTCCACCTCCTCTTCCTCCTCCTCTTCGGGTCGCCCGCGGCCCCGGGGGAAACCGTGCAGACATTGTGCACCACGTGAAGGCGCATCGCCCCAAAGCCAACGCCGAGGGGTGTCGAAGGCGAGGCGCTCAGTGTCTCGAAGGGTAACGGAGCGGTCGGCTTGCTGGCGGAAGCTAGTGCGGAGAGGGGCGCACATTTTGGGAAGCACTGGACGTTGGCGGAGCCTGGCGACAAGATCAGATCGGCAGTGCAGAACATCGTCTGGTGATACCAGAATAGGGCGGGTAAGTAGCCCCGTGTGTCGGAAAAGGGAGCCAAGAATGCCAAGCAAGAAAAAGCCAACGCCGCAGCTAGTACTCACGAAGCACACGGTGCGCACGCGATATGGGAAGCGGGCTGCATCGCATCGGCTAGAACGCGAAGGAAGCTGCGGGAGTCGGAGTGTCATGCGCCGCCGTGGAGGACCTCGGGAACGAGCAACACGGGCGCAGCTGGGTCCCTGGAGGGGCGCGCGGCATTGGCGGCGGCGGCTGGGGCAGCGGTGCCAGGCGACAGAGCCGGGGGCGGCCAGATGCAGCAGGCGAGGGGGCACAAGGTGGCGGTGCACGGCCCGTTTGCGGCGCGCACGGCGTGCGGGGCCCACTCGGGAAGGAGGAGGGCAAGGCTCAGCGCCCACTGCCGGGGCCCGCTCGCCCGGGGGGGGGGTCGACGCGAAGGGCGAGTCAACGCGGGGCAGGATGGGGCCGCACATTTGCAAGGCGACAGCCACAAACCAACGCGCCGCTCGAGGAGGTGCGGGGGCACCTGCGAAGCGCAAAGGTTAGCTGGTCCCCAAGGCGACGGAACCTTGATTCAGGCTGCGCTGGGGCGCGGCGCGGGCTTCTCGGCGGGATCCGCAGTGGGCCGTGGGGGGGACCGCTTGGGGACATGTTGGGGACGTGTTGGGGGCGTCGTGGGGTCTCCTGGGCACTTGTCGGGAACGTCTCAGGACGCTCTCGGGGCCCTCGAGCGCCATGTTGGGGCTATCTTGGAGACGCTCGATCAAAGAAGGGGAGCTCATCAATTCGCCACCTCGCTCCCCCTTCCCCCGGAGGCCGACGTGCTTCCAGAATTGCAGTACACTGCGTGATGTTGGTCTTCTCGCCGAGGCTCGAAAAGACCCTCTGACCCCCCCCCCCCGTCCAGGTCCAGGGGAGGTGGTGGGGGGAGGGGTCGAGCCAACCGCCCCGCCCCCGCGAGCCGTTTCGCCCACTCCCGCCGCCCGCCCCCCCCTCGCCACATAAGTAGCACTCGAGTTTCGGCGCGGCCAGGGGTCGCCGTTGGATGGACAGCCATTGGTCACCAGAACAGGCACCAGATGCGCGACTCTCGTCGCGGGCTCCTCATGCGCCACGCGTCCAACGTGCCCCACCTGCGCCGGGTGCGAGACTTGCGCGGCGCGCGCACCGCGCGCGGCGGGGTGGTCAGCATGATAGACTGTGCGTGCACCAGGAGTGACTTTGCATCGGCCCTGGACAAGGATGGTCGGCCCACGCACGCCAGACACTACGCGGGCACGCTTGCCACCCTTGTCAACAAGCAACACAGGAAGCGCGGTGCCCCCGCTCATTGTTTAAGTTTTGCCTTAAGGTGAATTTCGCGCATTTTTTTCCAACGGGGGACGAGGGTGGCGTTAGCATTGGCCCGTGTCTACAACGCGATCGCGGGAGGCCCTGGAGTGACCCGCGATTTCGGCGAAACGTGCATTTTTGATTTATTTTTTTAATGACAGCTGCAAATTCGCCGACAACACGAGAATGCCCCCGCCCTCCCCCAAAAAAACAAATAATACGAATAAAGTATACATGCAAAGTGATCGCGGGGCGACCGCGTACAGTCCTGCTTGTGCCACTATGTCTAGTTTGCATGTTTTTTATGCCAAGGATGGCGAACAGTCTTGCGCCGCCCTCGGTGAGTGGCTGAAGTGCCATTCCGCGGCGCGGATTGTTGTTGTTGTTGTTGTTGTTGTTGGTGTTGTTGTTGTTGTTTTTGGACTCTCACTTCTGAAGAATAATTTATTGCTGATCCCCCCCGTCCGGTGCACATTGTTTGTTCTCGATTGAAGTGCCCTTCCCAGGGCTCGCACCCTGTTTTTTATCAGGGGAAGTCTTGAGGGTCAAACTGTGTCGTTGGCCCCCGGTTTACAACAACAACAACAACAACAACAACAACAACAACAACAACAACAACAACAACAACAACAATAACAACGGCTCCCCCCTGAGACTTCCTCACAATTTAGCCAGGACCCCTGCTCCCGCCCGAGACTTCCTTGCATTTTATTCAGGAATCGCGCTCTCGCTTGGGACTTCCTTACAATTTATTTAATCGCTTCGCTCATTCCGCCGGCCCATACAGTCTCATGTCTGCCGTTTGCCCGAGGGCCTGGTGTCAATGCGGCGCTTTGGGGGTTCCTGGGGCCGCTTGGGGGACTCCTGGGGCGCTCGGGGGGGCATTTGGGGGGCCTCCTGGGGCCGCTTGGGGGACTCTTGGGGGCCTCCTGAGGGCCTCGTGGGGGCCTCTTGGGGCCTCTTAGGGGCCTCTTGGGGCCTCGTAGGGGCTTCTTAGGGCCGAGGGCTCGAAATGTTGTTTCGTGTTCCCTCTCTGGGGCCCCTTTGGGGGCGTTCTTGGGGCCCTCTTGGACCGTCTTGGAGGCTTCTTGGGCCGTCTTCGAGCCCTCTTGGGCCATCTTGGGGCCCTCTTGGGGGCCTCTTGGGCCCTCTTGGGGCGATCTTGGGGGCCTCTTGGGCCGTCTTGGGGCGTCGGGAAGCCGAAAAGGTGGAAGCTCCAAAATCTCTCAAAAACCCAAGGAAAAACAATGAATTTTGCCTCCGGGGGCCCTCCTGGGAGTGCTCTAGGAGGCCTCTTGGGGCGTCTGGGGGCTATCTTGGGCGTCTTGGAGCGATCTTGTGGCATGTCGGACCCCTCGTGTACCATCTTGGGGGCCTCTTGGGGGCCTCTTGGCCTTTCTTGGGGCTCTCGGGGACGTCTCGGAGCCCTGTTGGTGCGCTCATGGAGCGCTCGGGGGGACCCGGCCGGGACCCGGCCGGGACCCGGCCGGGACCCGGCCGGGACCGGCCGGGGACCGGCCGGGACCTGGTCGGGGTACTTTTCGTCCGGGGACCCCCAGGGGCCGCCCCGCGCGCGCGAACTAGAAAATTGTTAACCAGTTACCGGAGATCTTAGCACGCCTCTGGCCCGTTGGGCCGGCGAATTATAGAATCGCTCTCCCGGCGCTCTGGAGTCGCGCTCTCGCTGGATACTTGCTTGCAATTTACTGAAGAATAGTGTCCTTGCGTTGGAAATTCTTGCAATGTATTCAAACGCCGCGCTCCGGACACCCAGGCACCCAGGAGTCGCGCTCACGTTTAGGAATCCCTCACAGATTACCTAAGAATCGGGATCTCGCTGCCCTTCGCTGCCCCGTTGCAGCCCTTCGTGACCCCCTCGCTTTGTTTCGTGGCCCCGTTGCAGCCCTTCGTGGCCCCCTCGCTGCCCTTCGCGGCCCCGTTGCAGCCCCTCGTGGCCTCCTCGCTGCCCTTCGTGGCCCCGTTGCAGACCTTCGTGGCCCCCTCGCTTTGTTTCGTGGCCCCGTTGTAGCCCTTCGTGGCCCCCTCGCTGCCCTTCGTGGCCCCGTCGCTGCCCTTCGTCGCCCCGTTGCAGCCCTTCGCGGCCCCCTCGCTGCCCTTCGTGGCCACCTCGCTGCTTTTCGTGGCCCCATATATGTATGCCCTTCGTGGCCCCCGCTCGTTCGCGCCTGTGGTGGTCCCATATGCGTGCCCTTCGTGGCCCCGCTGTCGCCCTTCGTGGCCCCCTCGCTGCCCTTCGTGGCCCCGTTGCTGCCTTCAGAGGCCCCGTCCCTGCCTTCTGCGGCCCAGTATACGCATGCCCTTCGTGGCCCCCGTTCGTTCGTGCCCGTCGTGACCCCATATGCATGCCCTTCGTGGCCCCGCTGTCGCCGTTTGTGGCCCCCTCACTGTCCTACGTGGTCCAGTTGCTACCTTCAGTGGCCCCGTCGTTGCCTCATGGTCTGCCCTTCGTGGCCCCCGATCGTTCGCGCCCGTCGTCGCCCCATGCGCATGCCCTTCGTGGCCCCGTTGTCGCCCTTCGTGGCCCCCTTCCTGCCCTTCGTGGCCCCCTCGCTGCCCTTCGTGGCCCCGTTGCTGCCTTCAGTGGCCCCGTCCTTGCCCTCCGCGGCCGAGTATACGTATGCCCTTCGTGGCCCCCGTTCGTTCGCGCTCTTCGTGGCCCCATACGCATTCCATTCGTGTCCCCGCTGTCGCCCTTCGTGGCCTACTTCGTGTCCTTGTGGCCCTGCTGTCGTTCTCTCTCGCTCTCGCTTTCGCTCGTCGTCGTCGCCGTCGTCGTCGCCGTCGTCGTCGTCGTCGCCGCCGTCGTCGACGTCGTCGACGTCGTGGTCGGTCCCCTGTCCGTCCCTCTTGGGGTCGGGTCGACGGTCCGCGGCCGCCCCGCCGATCAGCGATTCCGCTGGCCAGGCCGACGGTCCGCGGCTGCCCCGCCGCTTGCCGGGGCCCGGCCTGCAGGGAAGAAAGGTATACCCCCCAAAAGGGGTTCGATCGAAGACGAAGAGGGCGGGTATCGAGGGTTTGGGAAATACGCGTTATTGGGCACTCGAGCAGATACGGGCGAACAGTCTTAAACTGATTGTTGTTGTTGTTGTTGGGGGCTGTCGGCGGTGAGGCAAGGACCCGGCCCTGAATAGACAGGGACAGGGACAGGGACAGGGACAGCCCTGAATAGACAGGGGCAGGGACATAGACAGGGACAGCCCAAAAACAGGGGGAACAAAAAACAAGTCGGTGGACGATGCGTTGAGGATTTTTTGGGCATGTGTTGCGTATGTTGTGGCTGCTTCTATATATGTCGTACAACAAGTCCCCCTGTAAGGGAACAGGCCCGAATTCATGCTAAGACAGCACGAGCCCGGTGGCGGGCGCTCTCTGGCCCTGCCGCTCGGGAAGCGATGTGCTACCCGACCGGTGCACCCGCCATCGTCAGCGCACGGACGGGGCCAAGACCAGGGTTGATGTTGATGTTTATATTGGTGGATGTTGATGTGGATGTGGATGTGGACGTTGATGTTTATGTATGTTTGATGTTGATGCTCATGAGGATGAGGATGCCACCAGGCAAACACAGACAATCCCAGACAACACAGACAAACGCAGACAAACCCAGACATTCCAAACACTGAAAAAATACCCACACCATCCGATCGGATGGTATGGATGTGGAGAGCATGGGCAGGGCAGATCCTCTGCGGAGCGTTCCGGAAGGCTCTGAGCAGGCCGCGGCGCCCGAGACGTCCTCCAGAGCCGCCGGGCCTCAGAGATGCCCGATTCGCCCTCACCCGATTTTGTCTTCGTCCTGGCTTCGTCTTAGAAAAGGAAGAGCGAGGAGGAGGACCAGGAGGAGGAGGACGAGGAGGACAAGAAGAAGGAGGTCAAGGAGGAGGAGGATGAGGCAGGGGCAGGAGGAGGAGGAGGAGGAGGAGGAGGAGGATTCGTCCTCCTGATTTTTTGTCCCCGTCCTGGCGTCCTACGGACGTGCGCCTCCGTCGTCGACACACGGGCTTCGCGTGTGCTTCCGCGCCCCACGCCGGGAGCTGGCCTCCTCGGGGCCGTGACCCCCTCCCCCCTTCCCAGGAGTGCCCCCAGAGGCTCCGAAGATACCCCCTCCTCCTCCTCCTCCTCCTCCTCCTCCTCCTCCTCCTCCTCCTCCTCCTCCTGCCGTTCTGCCGTTCTCGCGAAGCAGCGTCTCGTCCTCCTCCTCCTCCTCCTCCTCCTCCTCCTCCTCCTCACGCCCGCGGCGCACGGCCCCCCAGCACTTCGGCCCGGTGACGTCGGCGGAGTAGGCCCCGGCGGGGTGCGGTGGCTCCGGCGCCGAGCGCTGGCACAGCAGAGGCGCGAGGGGCGGCGAGAGGGGGGGGGTCTGATGAGGTACAACGACGCGAAGATCGGGACAAAATCGGATCGGGATAACTCGAAAGCTCTCAGAATCGGCGGGTTTGGAGGATGTATTGGGCGCCGCGGCCGCTCCAGAGCGTTCCGGAACGCTCTGAGAGCGCTCCGGAACGCTCTGGAGCGATTCATCCTGATCCTAGCCCTGTTTTATGAGGAGAAGCGGTCGGGTATAGCCAGGACCCCGGGTAAGGGGACCCGGTCAGTGGTAGGGCCCTGGGGCCCCTCAGTTGGCCAGATTCACTAAAACCAGGTTTGCCCTAACTGGCGTGTTTTCGGGTGACGGCAGTTCCGGCTGGTAGAAATGGGACGGGGGGGCGCCCTTGGTACAAATCGTTAAACCGGGTTCCACTAAACCCAGTTCTGCCAACGCCCGAATCTAGGCATCCTGGATATGTCGATGGCTTTGCCATGGAGAGCGTGACGTTCCCACACCAAGAGTCGGTGGACGTCCTGGGGTCTCAGGGTTGGGTTTCTTGTGGACTGGCCTCCGTTCTACAGTCAAGATACTGAAGTACGGGCCGCTTTGGGCTCAGGAGTGGCTCGGGTTTTCGGGGCCGTTCCTCAGATTCATGTCGTGGAACCCGTTTGTGGCTTAGGCACGCCTTGGCAATAGAAGCCCCTTCGTTGCGTTTGTTTGTTGTTGTTATTTTTTCGTTGAAGAAAAGTAGAACAAAAAAGAAAACCTCCCTCATGGTTTCACGATGATTGTATGAATTTGAAGCCAGACGGAAGGTGGGAGGTTGTCGGCCTCGGGCCTCGAGGTTTTCGGACGTTCTCGTTGGCCTCGGTGGTGTTCCGGCTTCGGGATGCCTTCCAGCAGCTGCGCTTCGCTGGGAGCCTGCTGCGGCTGCCTGGATCGTCCCGAACGGCCGCCGGAGGCCCGAGGCATGACCTGGAATCAGAGGTGGATAGACTTCCTACCCTGACACGTCGATTAAGGAATCGGCAGTTTTCGGTTCGCGAGAGGGCGTCGCAGCCGTCATTTTTGCGGGTCCAGGTCCGTCGGTTTCGGTCCAAGGCCGTTTTTAAAGGGAGGTTTGTCCACCGCCGATGGAAGCCACCAGGCGTCGCGCCCCAAACCTTCTCTCGTGTTCGCCTTCCTGGGCCTCCTGAAGGTCCTCGTCGCCACGGCCGGGATCGCCCCGAATTTCAGAGCGCACCCCCCCAGGAGAGGTGCGCGGAGTGGCGGCATGGGCACCTTGTTCCCAACCTTCCTGTGGTTGAGGTACTCGTTTTGAATAGTGCAGTGTAGTCGCGTCCTTCCTTCCTCCTTCCCCCCATCCTCCTTTTCTTCCTCCTCCTGCGTCTCCTGCCTGCGGGGACTCATCATCTTCATCATCATCATCATCATCATCATCATCATCAGCATCAGCATCATCAGCATCATCAGCATCATCAGCATCATCAGCATCATCATCATCATCATCATCATCATCATCATCTTCATCATCATCATCATCATCATCATCATCATCATATCGGTGTTTCTCGAGCATGGATACGGTCCGTCGGCATTTAGAGGCTCGAATTCGGAAGGACCTCCGAGTTGCCCTGAGAGAGGCGGCTCAGCGATTTCGGGCTTGACTGTACTTCAGGCCCCTTCTTCACTTGTGTGCCCTTTTTCCTGTTCCTCATCGGCTTTCGCGAGCCTCCCTGAACTGCACGCCCATATTCGAGATCACTGTCCTGACGGCGCTTCTGTGAGTCTTCAGAACCTCCTAGAAGATGGACCACCTGCTCAAGAAGGAGTCGGCGGGCACTTCGGGTCGCGCGGTCAAACACAGGGCCGTAGGCTCGGCGGGAATGGACCAGGACTTGAAGGACCTGGCGGTCAACGCGGCCAAGTGCGTGGTGGGCCTGGACGGGTCCAACAGGCGCATGCAGGGCGTCATCGGGCAGGTGGCGATCGTGATGGAGCAGCACCCGAACCTGGAGCCGATCAGTACAGGGACGAAGCAGTACGACGACGAGAAGAAGGCGGCTGCGAGCTCGGAGGACATCGCGGCACTCGTACCAGCTCATGTCCGCGCGTGGGTCCAGCTCGTGACGTGCGTGAAGAGAGACGCGTCGGTGACGTGCGTGAAGAGAGACGCGTCGGTGCCCAACGAGAAGATGTCGGCGCTGATCGCGTACCACAGCAACGCGGCCGACCTCGAGGTGATCCGAGAGCACGTCCTCACGTGCCACCAGAAGAAGGCGTAGCCGCAGAAGGCGTGGGGCGACACCGACCGTTTCAAGATCGAGCTCATGATCATCCCCGAGCTTCGAGGTCACGAACGAGATCATGGCGCCGATCGCGCTCAAGCCGGGGGTCGAGATCAAGCGCGGGGCTCCGCCGCGCAACCCCAACATTCGCAAAGTCGTGGCGGGCCTCGTGAAGATCTGAGTTTCAAGAGATGCAGCAACAGTGGCTGGACGTGGCTTTCCTGTTGGTACGCGCTGCTCACCTCCCGGAGGGTACCGACCTTCAGGCGCCCCTGTTGGCACGCACTGCTCACCTCCTCACCTCGATCAGAGGGCACTTGGAGGCAGAGGGTACCGACCTGAAAAACTGGCCAAGAGACCAGTGACAGTTTGCAAAATCGTTTTCGCGGAGGCTTATTTTTATCAGTATCGATGAGTACTACGTCAGCTGAGGGGCAAGCTGAGGCCCAACGCTTCAATCTGAGAGGCCCTTCGGCATCACCGCCAGAGTCAAATTCGAATGGGAGCAGTAGCAATGCGAGGGTTCTCCGAGGTATCTAATCACGTTTACTTGAGTTTCGCAGCAGTGGACGACGCTCAGGTGTGTGGGTGTGCCCTGCTGGACCGCGGGCGGTGGAGGCCCTCTTGCCTCTATTGCCGCCCGTGCGCCAGTACGAGGGCCAATGCTCCGTGACCCGTGGTATCTTGTCTCACATTGTCGCTCAGGAGTGCGCAGGGGCGTCCTTCGCCGAGATGGGGGCCTTTGCATTTCACACGCCTCGCGACAGTGATTCCAGTTTGCCAGGGGCATTGCAGCATGATGTCAGTGTAGGCGCGCAGGGAGTCTCAACGGGTTGATGATGATGGTCATCATCATCACTATTATTAATGTTACCAACATCATCACCATCGTCAGCAGAAGCAGTAGCAGCATCAGCATTTACATTGGCATCATCACCAGCATCAGCATCATCCTCATAATCGTCATCGTCATTGTCACCGCCGGTTGCATCACCATCACCATCATCAAAATCAACGTTACAGTCATCGTCATCATCATTGTCACCATCACCATGACCATCATCATCATCAGCGTCAGGATCCTTATCATCATCCGCCTCATCATCATCAGCAGCATCATCATCAACACCAGCGTCAGCATCAACATCGTCATCATCAGCACTACCATCGGCATAATTGTTGCCATCGTCATCGGCAACAATATCATAATGATCAACATCAACAATGGCTTCATCATCATCATCATCACCATCATCATCATCTTCATCGTCAGCTTCATCACAATCATCGTTTGATGCCTGGGGGGCTGCGATCTGCTGAATTGTCGCCACTTTCGTGGGGTCCTGGGGGGGCCAGCGGAGTGGTGTCCCACGCACACCCAGACGAGACCTCGCGGTTCGCTGGGGGGCTGCGATCTGCGAAACTGTCGCCACATTCGTAGGTTTTTTGGGGGACCAGCGGGACGGTGCCCCACGCACACCTCAACGAGACCTCGCGGCTCCACGGGGGGCTGCGATCTGCGAAACCGCCGCCGTTGTTGTAGGTTCCTGGGAGGTCCAGCGGGGTGGTGTCCTACGCACACCCAGACCAGACCTCGAGGCTCCTTGGGGGCTGCCATCTGCGCAACTGTCGCCTATTGCTCGGGCTCGTGAGAGGCCCGGCGGGGTGACGCTTTACGATGGTCAGAAAAGAGGCCTCGCCGTCCCTTGGGAGTTGCGATCTGCGAACATGTCGGCACTTTCCTGGGTTCCTGGGAGGGCCAGCGGAGTGGTGTCTCACGCGCACCCAAATACGACCTCGTGGCTCTCTGGGGTTCTGCGACCTGCGCGATCGTCGCCACTTTTGTTGGCTCTTGAGGTGGCCAGCGGAGTGGTGCCGCACGCACACCCAGACGAGACCTCGATGTTCCCGCTGCGATCTGCGCAATTATCGCCGCTTTCGTGGGTTCCTGGGAAGCCCCGCGGAGTGACGTTGTACGAGGACCAGACAGAGGCCTCGCCGACCCCTTGGGAGTTGCGAGTTGCGCAACTGTCGCGACCGCCGTGGGCTCCTGGGGTGGCCAGCGGAGGGGTGTCCCACGCACGCGCGGACGAGACCTCGCATCTCCTTGGGGGATTGCGATCTGCGAACACGTCGCCGCTTTCGGGGGCTCCTAGGAAGTCCAGCGGAGGGGTGTCCCACTCAGATCACCGCGAGACTTCGCTGTCCCTGGGGGGGGTGCGATCTGCGAAGCTGTCGCCACTTCCGTGGTCTCCTGGGAGGTCCAACGGAGGGGTGTTTTTTTTTCGCAGATCACAACGAGCAGCGAGACCGCGCCATCCCTGGGCGGCTGCCATTTGCGAGCGCGTCGCCACTTTCGTGGGCGCCTGGGGGGTCCAGCGGAGGAGTGTCCCACGCAGATCACCACGAGACTTCGCCGTCCCTGGGGGCTGCGATCTGCGAGGCTGTCGCCACTTTCGTGGGCTCCTGGGAAGTCCAGCGGAGGGGTGTCCCAGGCAAATCACCGCGAGACTTCGCCGCCCCTGGGGGATTTCGATCCGCGAAGCTGTCGCCACTTTCGTGGGCGCCTGGGAGGTCCAGCGGAGGGGTGTCTCACGAGGACCAGTATGAGACCTCGCCGTATCAGGGTGGCGGTCTGCGAAAATGTCTGCGAACACGTCGCCAGTTTCGTGGATTCCTGGGAGGTCCAGCGGAGGAGCGCCCCACGCAGATCACCACGAGACCTCGCCGTCCCTTGGGGCTGCGATCTGCGAAACCGCCGCCAGTTTCGTGGACTCCTGGGAGGCCCGCTGACGGGTGCCACACGGGGACCACCATGAGACCTCGACGTCCCGTTGGGGTTGTGATCTGCGAAACCGTCGCCACTTTCGTTGCCTCCTGGGAGGTCCAGCGGAGGGGTGCCCCACGGGGACCACCATGGAACCTTGCTGTATTTGGGGGGTTGCGATCTGCGAGACTGTCTCCACCAGTCCCATGAGGCATCGGCGACCGGGTATGTAAACCCAGCGGAAATCAAACACAGGGTTGAACACATGAGGCGCAGGCATGTGTGATCCCAACCCTGCTCATAGCCGCCCCGTGGACGCACGACCTCTCTCCGTCGCATAGCGCATGGCGCTGTTAGATCGCACGCCGCGGCGCGTGCGAGCGCCGCGCAGCGAATAGCGCATGGCGCTGTCCGTTGCCCATGCCGCATCCCTTTTTTTTCGGCGGCCTGTTGCTTGTAATGCGTGCGGGCACATGCTACGTTAAGCGCAGGGTTCTGTAGTGTCATAGCGCGCAAAGCGCTGTCCTACAATGCGAACACAGTGCAAGGCGCTGCTTCTCCCACGGATTATGTTTCCACCTCCCCTCGTGGCCGCTTTCCTGCCAACGACCTGACTCCTTAAAGGTGACGCCGCATATGTGAACCATCTGACTCTGGCCCGACGCTTTTTGGCGAAGCGTTCAAGGGCATTGCGGATGATTCAGCGGTTGCTTTTGTATTGAGCGATCTGGTGTATCAGGGTTGGGTACGTCCCCGAGCTATTGTTTCCAGGGGGTGGGGAGGCAAGGGATGCGTTCCGTCCGGTCGCGCCTCGGGTCGAACAAAGGGGGGAGGTACAGTGGGGGGGCCATGCCAAGAAACACCCTGCTTGCCTCCAAGGCGCCCTGGGCTTCTTGAGTTTCGATGATTTCGTTGTGGACAGCGTGACGTCCCCACGCCGAAAATCGATGGACGTCCTGGAATCTCAAGATTGGGTTTCTTGTGTGAGGTTTCTTGTGGACGGGCCTCCAGTGTAAGGGAAGCGGGAACGCGACAGCTTCAGGAGGGGAAAAAACACACAGACACAATTAATCGTCGATTCCCATGAGGATATGCAAGAATATGGGAATTGGGGGGGGGGAACGAAAATCAACAAGATATGTGACAATATGGGGAATCATGTTTTTTGTGTATTTGAACCCCTTGACAGCTGCTGCGTGCAGCTGGTTCTGGCCCCGCCGCCAGGCGCAGCCCCCGATGCAGAGGCGCCCCCAGCTCCAGGAAGCGTTGGGGGAAGCAACTGCGCAAGCCAATTCATCGTCGATTCCCCAGAACATACGGGGAAATATGGGAAGTGGGGGGAAGACGGAATCCCAGAACATATTGGAGAACATGGGGGGTCCTGTTATTTGTTTCTATTGATTTGTGTGTCTCATGGCCTTGTCGGATTCGCTAACCCTTCCTTTGCTGTCCACCGTTTTCGCCCGATCCGGGCATCGCAGGTCGGTTGCGTTCGGTCGGTTCGGTCTGGTCGGCCATTGCGTCGTTGCCGCGTCGTCGCGTCATTTTCGGCTGCGGCCGCTCGACTCGGGCTTCTGTCGGTTTCGCTTTCGCTTTCGGTTCGGTCGGTTCCCGATCGTGCTGCCGCCGGGGACGGCCAGGGATGCGTCGCCCAAGAAGGGACACCGACTCTTCATATCTATGCTGCGTCGAGGGCTGGAGTGGCATTCGCGGCGGTGGCACGTGCGGCCAGGGAGGTGGCACCTACCTTCGGGATCAAGCTCACCAGCGGGCGTGGTCCTTGGGGTGTGGTGCCCCTCTCCGAGGTCCGAAAGGGGGAACGGTGTAGAAACACCTGGACATCCAGCTGCTCGGAACAAAAACAGAGACGGCACGTTATTGTTGTCGCTTTGTTTTCCGAAATTGGTTTCGGGGCACGGGGCAAGCAACCACAATGGTCTAGGAGTGCAAGCTGGCAGCGAGTACGGGGCCAAGGAGTCCGGGGTCCCACGTCTTGCCTTTCCTGCCGTACCTTGTCCTTCCTCTTGATTGTTTTCCTCTCTGGCATCTTGGGTTGCACCATTACCGTGACATCAGAGTCACCAGTGAGAATCACGATCGTCCTGCAGCCCATGGGGCCCGCCTTTCGCGGAATATCAAGCCGCTGGATGTCTAGGGGTTTGGGGAGGCGCGGGTGGGGGGGCAATGCACCGGGAGGGATGGTCGGGGAGGGATTTTCTGTGTGGCGAATTATGGGTTTTTGGGGCTGTCTATGGGTTTCGTAGTACTCGGCCCCACGAGTGTCGGAGATCCCAGGGTCCCCGATACATGGAAACCCCGTGTGTATATGTATATACAAATATATATATATATATATATGTGTGTACATGCACATATATATAGACATTTATGTA